CAGCCCCCAAGTCCTGCCAGCTCTTCTGCCTACCCTTGTTAGTTTCCTTAAATACTGCTCAGACTTGCAAATAGTCTATCTATTGTATTTCATTTAATCACCCACTGTGAGCAGGCCACCTGCTTCCTATCAGGACCTTGGCAGCCAAATAAATATTGATGCACATTTTATGAACTAATATACATTCTAAAAATATGTGTTTTTGAACAATTTTATAAGGCTCTTGGTGACAGATATTTATAAGAGAGACACGTTATTTGTTAATTAAATCATTTGTTGGAATTTAGAATATAGAACATAGCTTATCCGGAGAAGATAGGAAAGGAGGGTTAAGGAAGAAGATACTTTATTTTCGGCTAAAGTTAAGAAAGGTTTATCTCTAGGTGTTTGGCACCATTTATGCACATTTACAATGAAACAAAAATTTAAAGACTCAGAAAAAGGTGCCCTTTGTAAAAAAAATAAATAAATGTCAAGGTGTGTTGTACCAGGTTCCACGGGCCACGTGCATCTCAGCCCCGGGCAACACTCACCTTCACGCTGACACTTCCTTGGAGTTTGAGCTGCAGTCGGATCATGTCCACCTCTTCCATTGTGCAGAGCTGGTTAAGCTCAGAGACTTTCTTGGACATCTCGTCGATTGCCACTTCAATAGGATTCAGTTCTGTGCTCGACTGGCTTATGACCTGGATTCTCTTCTTCACATAGGGAAACAGGTGGCTGGCTGCACAGGAGCAACATGAGAGAATGGAAAGGCTTCAGGAGAAACTCGATTTTGAGTCATTCAACACTGAAAAGATTATAGCTTCCACCGCAACTTGCAGTTCAAATAGAAACTCCCCTAAGCCACAATAAAGAATGCTTAAATAAATCCTGAATGGCCTATGTTATAGTAGCTTTGTTTTAGATTTTATTAGAAAAGTTCTGGAAAAGTTTACTGAAGGAGAATATTCCCCCTAGTTTGGATGTCACTGCTATTTGCATGGCTATTGCATAATCCAGGATTGCTCTTCTCTCACACAGCTTAGGTATCACTAGTCCAGAATGTCTTTGCTCACCTTTCCCCTCAGTCTACCTTAGGAGTCCCCCTCCTGTGCCCCCCCATTTCATTTCTCATGCTGTGCGCGCCTGAAATTCTTGCTTTACTTGGCTCTTTCATCTATCAGGCTGGGAGCATCTTGAGGGCAAGACTCGTGTTTTATTTCTTTGAATTGCTAGTAGAGTACCCGACATGTAGTAGGCACTTGCTGAAAGTTTGTAGACTAGCTCACAGAATAGATTTAAACGGTATTGGAAGGGATGGTGACCATCCTCTGCACTCATTTTACAGATGAGGAACCACACTTCCAGAGCGACTTAGGATCTTGCTCCAAAGCACACAATCCTGAGAGCTTCTAATCTTGAATTAACTGAGGGTAGATTCAGTGAGAGAGAAGAGTGGCCTTCCCAAGACACAGACACCATGACCTTTGTGAATAAGCTCTACAGGGAAGGGCTTAGTAAAGTAACTACTGACAATTTCTCTTCTGGGGGACTTCTCAAGGGTGTCCTTCTTGACAGATTGTAAGGAAGGGGAAACCTACTCTTCCAGGCAAACATCCATGGTGGCACATTCGAGGCACTTGTCTGCCAGAGTGAAATGTGCTGATTTTAACTTCTCCATCCCCGTGAAGGGCCTGCACGGCCCCTGGGCGGGCTGCACCTACTTGTCAGGACGGTCCTGCGCTTGCACTGCTCCTCCACGCCACCGTGCTTCTTGCCCGACAGCGTGAAGGGTGTTTCAAACACAAAGCGGTTGATGTTGTGATGCATTTCAAAATCCGTCTTCCGGTCCTCTATTTCCTTTTCCTCAAAGAATGGTGTCACATAGGTCACCTGGATATAGGCATATTTGGGGTCCAAATCCTTCGGGTTTACCTATATGAACACATGATGGGGAAAGAAAGAGTGGTGAGCCTAAGGTACTTGGGAAAGAAAGGCAGGAAGGTCTGTGTTTTCTCAACTGGCATCCTGGGGGTTGGGGTGGGGTGGGGGAGGGCTGCCCCTGTCCCCTTGGAGAAAAATGGGCATCATATCACCATAGAGGAGTACCTGCCTGGACTGTGGTCAGGCAGCCAGACTGTGGTGGAGGCAGGATTGGAGCCAGCTGGCCGAGTAGCCGGGGCTCTTCGAAACATAAGCCAGCTTTTCCTGCACTACCTTCTGAGACACTCTTCTACCAACCTGTGTTTTAAAGACCTGCCATTCTTGAAACACATTTTCCCCTTTCATGCCACTGTCACTGCATGTGCTGGGCTGCTCAATATGCCCTTTGCTTCCAGCAAACACCTCCTCACCCTGCAATTTCCAGCTCACATATCATCTCTTCTGGGAAGCAGTGCCCACAAGAGAATGAGCTGGTCAGGGAGCCCCTTCCCTGAGCTTTCCCTGTGTGACTTGCACCATGTCTGCCATGGCTCTTCACTGCACTTTATTTAATTAGCTGTTTGCAGACAACATTCTCTTCTCAGCTCCATGTGAATCTTGGAGAAAGAGTCTTTGTACCCCAGCTCCTAGTTCTGGGGATGGCATGCAGTAGGTGCTTAATAGAGGTTGGCTACAGGAATGAAAGCATATTAGAGGATTCTGAATAATATAACCAGAGGATGTAAGCATTGGCCTTCTGGAGCCACCAGAAGATTAATTAGATATCCACAGGTTAATAAAATGTAACTGGCAAGTCTGCTATTATCACAGAGAATAGATGTTAAAATTGGTATGACCCAGGAAGACCTCCCAGACTGAAGAAATACATTTTTGCTTTTCCTCCAAGTCCACCACTGGGCCCAATCACTTTAATTCTTTGGTTGCTATACAAGTGCAAATAACCGATGGGAAAAATAGGGAACTTAGAGGTTACTTCAATAAACACATAATGTTTTTGCCAAAAATAATCACCAATCAACTAACGAATAAACAAATAGGCAAACACCCAAAATGAATATTAATTTTCCTCTACCTTGTTGGAATCCTGTATTATCTTCACATTGTCTGCTCCGAATTTATCTGCATACAGCTTGAGCAGTCTTTGGGAAATCTCCGATAGACCTGTCAGCTTAGGCTCTTTATAAATATACTCTTTACCTTCTTCTTCTTCAAAAAACCCCTATGGAAGATACATAAGAAACCATCAACTTTATTAGAAAACTCCAATTGCACATCACAGGCAAAACAAAAGCCATTTATCCAGTCTTTTGGTTGTCATCCAAGCCACTAACTAGCACCCTATAAAGTCAAAATCAGAGAAAAGCCAAGTGAAGAAAACAAAATATCATGCTAGAATCAGTCATTAACGGAAACACCCCCTCACCAGGCCAAAGAACCTCATAGGATATCTTAAAATATTTTCTCTATTTGTAGAAATCAATGGTAATATCTGCGGCATACATTTTGGGGGAAGGATGCCCTCATGTGGCAGCCTGGGGTAGAGCACAGAGTCTGGACTAATGGGCATTTTTTCAAAGAGCAGTGTCATTTTTAACTAAGTCTTCTCAAAGTCTTTGAAGCTAGCACAGGAAAACCCGAGGGGCACGTAAAGGTATCGATGTGGGTGGATATGCACCCACATCATCTTAAAGAGCTGCAGCACTAGTATTGTAATCACAGAAATTGCATGTGGTAGGCTCCCAAGTACTGTAATTAAAAAAAAACAACTTTCCATTAAGTCTGGGGCCTGATGCAACTTTGCTATATGCAATTTCATCATTCAGTTTGCTTTCCTAGTAGATCTTCATTTTTTTTTTTGGCAAAGCTAGACCTATTTAGAATAGAAAATAGTAAAGCAACCAATCGTGCCATCATTTTTATGTCGTAGGAGCAAGTAGGTCTTAGCCTCTATTAATTTATCTGTCTGGTTGGAAACAGGGGGAGAGAATATTCCATTATCTGCAATAACTAAGTGAGGTAATCTTTATAATTCCTTCCCTTTGAAGAGACACAGGGCATTTTTCCTGTGGGACACGTGGCCTCTGACTATTGGGTTAAGTCTCGAGTTAAGATTCCAAGTGTGTCTGTTTCTTCTGACTCAGAATTTACCTCAAGGCTATGGCTGTTGAGAGCCAGCTGAAGACAATGGAGGTCACAAAGAATCTTAGCTGTATTTTTAAAAAACTTTTATTTTTGACTATTTAAAAAGATTCCTTATATATAAAAGACATGGATGAAATGTTCCCATGTTGGACTTTTCACAACCAAAGTGAGGTGAGGATAATAATTAAGCTCACATCTGTATGGCGCCTTTGTACTTGAAGGCACTTTTACCCATGTACACTTGACCATCATGAACAGGGTACTTTGCATGATAAGAGGGACACAACTATATATTTGTAGAAGCCAAGGAACAAGGCACATTTGCCAGCACAGATCCTGTCAAGCACGAAAATAATTGTCTGTTTCTTTGTGCACTTCCCAAAATGACTTTGGGCTTTTCAAAGTCAGGAAAGTGTCTTGTTCAACATGGTATGTGTAGTGTTTAGCACGGTGCCTGGTCTTTAGGGGGACGTCATTCTACATTTATTAAATTAATAAACTGAAGAATAAAACAGTTCTGGTGGGCATACATCCTAAAAAGGTATGTGTGCACCAGGTATAAATAGAAAAGATTGTATTGCTTTAAAGAACAGTTTTTAATTGAACAATTTCTTTAAGAAATGCTCAAGACGAAACACAGATGATTATGAGTAACTTGACCCTCAACTGCCAAAAAAAAAAAAAGTGATCCATGATTGTTGAAAGCATGAAAAGTAGCTCCCTGTTGTTCCTCTAGACTTTGTAGGAATGGTGAGGTCTGGCCCCATTCCCACATGACTTCCAGCTGCTGTTTTTCTGTCTTTGTGGAGTTTTGTTTTATTCAAGGTCAGAAATAGTGGCTAACATTGACAAACTGACACATCACAGAAGTAAGACTTCTGAGGCCACCAACCGGAATCCCCCCAGGACAATAGCTAAAGCAACATTTACAACTTCCATTCCAGTGAGAAAAATGTTTCCAAGTCCCAGGAAGATATTTTCTCACCACACTGTGAAAACCAGCAGCACAAAGAGACATTTTCACTGTGAATTCTTGCCCCTCACAACTTTCTGAATTTAGAATTAGGAGTGTGGGAAGCAAGATTTTATTGTCATTACTATGACCCCTGTCTTTTTGGTCATGACCTGTGACTTTCTCTCATCCTTACCCCTTGGTCTGGAGGACGGGAAATAGACCCAGAAATCTATGGAGAGGTTCTAAAGACAGTGCCTGGGACATACAGGCCCGTGATGAATGTCACCTATCATGAGGAGATTGAGGAGGATGTCAATAAAAAAAAGTTTGTGTCAGCAAAGCAATTTGAGTTCTGATTCATATGCAGGGAAATAGCTTGACTGAGTTTTGAGAACTTAAAATATATACCTTCAGCTTCTTTTACATAGAAACTATACTTTCCTTATTAGAAAAGTCTACTGATGCTCATTTCAATATTTTGGTTATAGGATTGATCAGAAAGAAATGGTGATTAAAATCTGTCTATCTATCTATCTATCTAGCTATCTATCTATCTATCTATCTATCATCTATCTATCTATCTATCTATCTATCTATCTCTCTATCTATCATCTATCTATCTATCTATCTATCTATCTATCTCTCTATCTATCATCTATCTATCTATCTATCTATCTATCTATCTCTCTATCTATCATCTATCTATCTATCTATCTATCTATCTATCTCTCTATCTATCATCTATCTATCTATCTATCTATCTATCTATCTCTCTATCTATCATCTATCTATCTATCTATCTATCTATCTATCTCTCTATCTATCATCTATCTATCTATCTATCTATCTATCTACCTACCTACCTACCTACCTATCTATCTACCTACCTACCTTCCTAGCATGGAGATATAAACCTCTTGAGACTATTTTATAAAACCACTAAAATGGAGCTGGAGTAACAGAATAAAGTATTTCATCTGCTGTTTGCCAGGGTTGTAAGAGCGTTTGCAGCCAGAGAAATAGCAGCTCTGAAAATATTGGCAATGCATGCTTACCTTTTACCCAAGGAAACCATCAAACCATCAAACCCACTGAACCTTAAAGGTAGGACACTACCTTAAAGAAGGCTTCAATTTCAGCTCTGTCTATGAAATAAATGATTTATAAACAGGGACAAAAGGTGATGAGGACCCAGGGACAGTTTCTCTTTTGTGTTAGCCACAAGGTCATGAGTGCACTGCGTTTCAAAGCAACAGGAAATGTGACCTCTGCATTTCTCTTGCTAGTCTCATGTTTTAAAATGTCATTTTACAATGCAATAAAAACCCTAGTCTGTCTTATTCTCAGGAAACAGCACACATTCTACTTAAATAAGGACTTTGAGTCAGTAGAATTTAATTGCATGGATTATGAAACTCTAATAGATCATGATAAAAATGTACTTCAATAAACTGACACCTTAAATTATTGACCCCTTTGATATTTTTTCAGGTATTTCAGAATCACTATTGGGATGTCAGATATAAATGCTCCCGATGTAACATTCAATTGATTCCCAGGTCGTAAAGGAATGCACTGAAAGAGGAATCAGTGAGTAAAAGATGGGTCAGAAAATATTAATAATGGACTAAATGCTAAGAGAAGAAAAACTACAAGAATGCTGAGAGATAGTTCCATATAAATATGAACTCAGTTACACATATATGTTGTCTATATCAGTGACTTTCATATGAGTGCGGAGCCAGAAGGTTGTCTCACATTCCCAACTATACATGCACCATACCTCCTCACCCAATCCCTTTTCTATCAAGGTTCTGAGATGCATCTACAGCCACATAAGCATGGTTGAGAATCAAGGAATCTACATACTTTGGTGAATGGAATAAAATTCCCCAGGCCTTTCACTTAAGTCATTCCAGGGGCATTTGCTGTTTTAAGTTATGCAATAGGCACTTGCTTGCTTGCTTTCATGCTAAATATTAGAGCCTAAGATTTCATTGACGACAGTTGATGTTTGATCACTACTGCTGCTCATTATTCTTTAAATGAATATTTCAAGGACATTCTGGAGCTGCTTTCTATAGGCTGTTCTATGTAAAATTTCCATAGGCATTGATATCAGATGTTGCATCAGAAAATTCATGTTATGCAAGACTTACATTTTTAAAGTTTCTACTTGTTTTGTCATGTCTGGCTTATTGCAGACATCATATTAACTACTCCAGCTAGTACTGTAAAATGCAAGCATCAGTCCAGCTGGGACCCTAAAAGATTTACCCAAAGGCCTTTGTGAAGGCAATGGGTCTACTGCATATGCTATTTGCATAATTTTTGAAAAATGATTACAAGACATGTCTATCTGGATATTAAAAGGTGAATTTTACACAGACACAAAGTACCATCATAAAAAAGGAATTATTGTTGACCATGGGGATTATGCTAATCAAGTAGTCAGGACTTTATCTTAGATCTTCGGAACCTTCATTCTGCACACGTTTGGGGCACTGTCCAAGCCTATTTAGTATTTCCTTATCATCAAATGTGAAGTGAAGTGCACTGTCTGCTTCTGTCCAATGAATAAGTTCCCATCTCCATTTGGGTTCTTGGGGCAGGCATCTGAACATCATTTGAACAATGATGACCAAGGCTCTACATTGCTGCTTATCAGGACGACCTCCATTAGTCTCCCTTGGTCAGGGGTGGCTGGGGTTTGAACTTATAGAGGATCTGCTTAGGTGCGTACTCAGGTCTGCAGATTCACAGACCATTTTGCCCTTTAATAAAATCTCAAATTGGAATTTTTAACAAAAGATAATTGAGAAGACTGGCAACATTAAAAAGAAAAAGCCAGGTGCACAATCAGCACACTTTATAGAGGAATCTGCAAAAAGAACAAAGTTAAGTCATTTGAAAATAGCTCTCCCCAATCCTTCCCCATTGCCCCCTCCGTCTATTTAGTATAGGGATTTTCAAGTATTCTTTTAGTAGGTGAGTTAAGGACCCATGACCCCAAATTTATAAGTGAAGGTGGAAAATACTGATGTGGTATGGATGTGGGAAGGGACTTAAAGAATTACAAAAAAGTATGTACCAGACAAGCACAGTTGAATGTGGACAACATGTGGATATTGCAAGAATTTGTCTCTACTTTAATCAATAATAATTATGTTGAACTACATGAAGTTGCCATCTTTTCCCCAGGAAAGTATGGTTGAATATGGGCAATTTCATATGGTTCAAAAGTATGCAAAGAAAATTCCATGTCACAGAGCTCTAGGTACTGGCATGTTATTTCTGTCTCTGCTTGTCCTCCACATTTCTTACAATGCTTCTTTCCGCATCTCAGGAGATTTAACCTGACCTCCTGGGTAAAGATTTAGTCTATTGTTCATCTTCTGTGTTGGGAATTAATACTATTACCTTTGAGAATACTCAAAGCCAGCACAATAGAGAACCCTGTTACTCCACAATACTCATTTGGAAAATGGCAGGCTCTTTTAGGAACCTGGGAAGGTGCCCATCAATGGCCACCACTCCAAGTTTTGAAATTCTAGCACCCCCATGCTCTTCTTCATCAGCCAGAACACAGTGGCCTGAAGTGAGGAGGCAATACCCAATACTGAGTCTACTATCCATATGTGGTTCCCATATTTATCTATGTGAGTGTGTGTGCATGTATGTAGGTTTTCAGACTACTCTTACCATAGTGCAGAAGATATTATATATGAAAAATAAAGGATACATTTTTGTAATTCAGATAACTGGAGTAAACAAAGTTTAGTTCGAGGAAGCAGGATGACTCCCAAATGAATGGAAGCAGGATTATCTCACCTTTGTACCAAATGTTGATTGGCACAAAAAAGTTAAGGTTCAGTAAAACCATATAGAAGGAAGTGTGAGAATTTTTAGAGCATGCAAATGAAGTGAGAAAGAGAGAACTTACCACAGCCTGGAACAGTCAATACCAAAAGAAGAAAAGAGTAAACATCTGCATTAAAATCTGGTTGGAAAGCAGCCTAATTCATTTCCACCTGTTCAGTAGCCAGTATGTTAGGCATTGGTTGGAGAAATTACCAGGTAGGCAATCTGGTTTTCATGATCAGAATATCAACAGCAGTCATTAAAAAGATCCTTTGAAGGACTGTAGACTCAAATGCAGGCTGGCTGATGTGCATCTGTGTGTCCCTGCTGTGCTGCCATTCATTCCTTTGAGACTCTCTCCTACAGGCCCTCAACTCCCACATCCCCTTCCTGATGCAGTTTTCTACCATTTTTCTGGCTAATGTTTCAGCAAGGTCAAAATTGTTTATTTTTTGTTTCTTGTTCACTTTCAAGAGATCCCTTCCATTTCTCTCTCCTCCTTTTCTGCAGATCCCCACATTTCTCTGTCCCCAACATATTCTATCACTTCAGAGAGTTCAGATTCTTTTCCAGAGACTCCCCAAATATGTAAATTTAGCTTCTTTCTGTAGACCATCTCCCCACATCTGTTCCTCATACTTTCTCTGATGCTTTCTCTGATGCTGCGGGAAAACCTGAGCTGGATCAATTTCTTTTAAATTTTAAAATTTTTTATTGATTTGAGAGAGAGAGAGAGAGAGAGAAAAAGAGAGAGAGAGAGAGAAATCAATGATGCAAGAGAATCATTGATTGGCTGCCTCCTGCATGCCCCCTACTGGGGATTGAGCCTGCAACCCAGGCATGTGCTCTTGACCAGAATCAAACCCGGGACCCTTCAATTGCAGGCTAATGCTCTATCCACTGAGCCAAACCAGCTAGGGCTGGATCAATTTCTTTATGGTAAGTGGTTACTCAGTGGCATTTTCCTTTCCCGGTAGAGAGCAGCTATCTTGACTAATTCAGAAATTAGTTTTCAAGCTGTCTTTGGTGACTAGAGGAAAATATCTATTTTTTCTAGAGACTTCAATGAGAAATGATCTAGAATGACCATGCTGCATGTGACTCCGTAGGCAATTCTGAGGAGAATAAGAGCTATGTGCAATAGTGCCTTACATGGTGGGGGGAGAAAAAAAAAAGAAACAAGGGAACTGAGAGTCATTCCACCTGTGAACAAACAAGAATGGAATGTTTATCCACAGTCATAGTCTGAAGGATGTCTGCTGAAATATAAGAGTGTATAAACCTCCCTGAAAAGAACAGGATGGTTCCTGGGTCTATCCCACTTAAAGCACCAGTCAGAGATATTCAGAATTAATATGCAATACATTCACTTTACTTTCAGGCAAATGCTATGGCTAGCTAATATTTTCCTTCTTGTTCACTGTGTATGTAGTCAACCGAGAAAGGGAACTTTAAAATTACACTGACCTGTAATACAGGAAACAATAGTGTTCTGCATAAAAGTAGTGATAGTTTGAAAGTAGGGGAAAAGAAAATGCATGATTATAAAGTCTAAAGTTCATGGCTTTGATATGGTGGAGCCCCTAGAAATTATTTATTTTTTAGAAAGCTATGGATTTCATTTCTTAAAACACGTTGAATTTAATTTGACTTAGAGGCAAATCTATAATTAGATATTTTGGGGTGAAATGGGAAGAAGACACACAAAAAATGCCTTTCTTCTCCAAGAAGTTAGAAATCACTGTTTTAACTCAATCTGTATTAAGAGCCATGGAGTTCTCTACCCAGTACCTTCCTATGGACAAACATATAGAATCACTCAGAGAAACAAACATATCGAGACACATCCACATCCACACCCCTTCAATCCTTTGATGCATGGAGTTAGATGTCTCATAAAGAATGAAAGGACAGCATTCAACTGCTCAACAGAATTCACAGGTCATGCTGCCTCTAGGGAACTTACCTGCCCATAAAATGCCACGCGGTAGTACCGACCAAACAGTCGCTTCTCTGAATTCACCACTTCCGCAACTTTCAGATAGGACCGGTGAATGTCGTAGTAAAGATCCGATAATTTCTGAAACCATAAATCAAAGGGTCTCAAGCGATGGTGCCCACATAAACAATAGGGAGTTTCTGCTTTTGAAAATAAATAAGCAATTGACCCATTGAAAGTAGGATGTTGTCACTAATGTCTAGGTTTTGAAAACATACTTTGAAGTCTCTCTGCTTCTCAAAGACAGCAATGATGGGCTTGTTGACATCAGCGATGAGTTCGTATCTCTCAGACTTCCAGAGAAACTCCACACACATGTATAGCTGCTCCACCAGGACATGCTGTAGTTCCTCAAACCAAAGCAAGACCTTTTATGAGTTCCACTGTAGCTTGTCACTGAAACTTAATTTCAAAACTGCTGCTGTCTATTTTTTCATGGTGGGATCTCTGTGTTCCCTATTTTTGTTATTAGCATTTACATCTAGCCAGCAAGGGATGGTTATGTCATCTGGATTATGCCTTTTCCCTCACTCGCATCCCCTGATCAATTCCTTAATCTTGCCAATTGAAATCTAAGAAATGCCTTCAGATTTGCCTAGTCCATTCCATTCTCACTGTCCACAACTTCCATTGAACCCCTGCTCACTCTGAGACCCCTGCAGAGTCTTCTAGATAATCTGTCTTCCCACTCTAATTTGTCCTCTGTGATGCTCTTCAGTCATTCTTCTTTCTAAAACATAAATATGATCCTGAGATCTCCACTGCCCCGAACCTTGGTGGGACCCCCACTCTATGAACTGCTGTCCCAACTCTCTCTTACGGCATTCAAAGAGCTCCAGAGTCCAGCACCAGCCTCCACTGCAGAGCCCCTCTCACAGAACCCCGATGTTGACTTTGCATGTTGGCTATATCAGACCGTACCACACCATTTTTAGGATACATTCTCACCTTCCCACTTTTGCCTGTTTTGTTTGTTGCCACATCTATCAGAATGTTATTTTTCAATGACATCTTCAAGTCCTATTAAATGTCAAGACCCCAATGCCAAAGTCTAGAGAACTTTTATTTATGTCCCATCTATCTCCATACCAACCACATTCACATAAAAAATGTTCCCTTTTAATTATAGCCACATATGGTGCCTGGAGTTATAGTTAATGGGTCTCAGACTGAAGGAAGTTTGTCTTTCTCAAGGTTCTAAAAGTGCCTGGAGTTATAGTTAATGGGTCTCAGACTGGATACTACCCACCTGAAGGAAGTTTGTCTTTCTCAAGGTTCTAAACTCTTTGAGAGCAGGAATTATGCCTGATTTATCTGTCTCTCACCTTTAATTCAAAGCTTCAACATATATTAGTGGTTTAATGAATGTTCAACTGAATCCAATTATATATTCTCTAAAGCAGGTGGGTGATATTATTGGAATGTTTCTAACAATGTCTTTTAAGAAAATATTTTTAAACGTTTTTTGAAACAGGTAATACAAATATGTAGTTGCATTCACTGTTTACTTGCAATGTACAATAAATTTATGTAGAACTACATGTAAAATTTCATTAGATCCATCCCAAAATTTGCTTTCTGTATTCTTACTTTCAATCTATGTAATAGGATTTCAAAAAATTAACTTGTGTAATATTTTACTTACTTGATGAGGGGAGCTCTAGTTTCCTCACCAGAATTGTTTCTAGGTTATTCCCAGTAGAAAGCCTTCTTATTAGTGAAAATAAAACAACCCATGGTTTGCATACCAGAAGGTTTTCTGCAGAAATGAGTGAACCCCTCTC